AGACGCTAACCAATGTGGAACACAGTCTCCTCTGGCTACCTTAGCATCAAGAGGTATGTCTGCCTGGATGCTGCCATGCTTCCACCATGAGGATAATGGACTAACCCTCTGACACTGTAAGCCAGCCCTATTAAATGCTTTCCTTTATGAGAGTGGCTGTGGTCATGGCGTCTCTTTGCAGCAGTAAACCCCACCTGAGACACCCTGGATATGACTCACTCTCATTCTCTCTGTCTCTCCCCTATCTTGCCATATGGCCCTGGCTGTCCGGAATTCGCTGGGTGGACCAGTCCAGCCTTGACCCTCTGCCTCCAGACAGCAGGGTGCTACCACATCTTGCTTCTTCTTGTTTTTGTCTTTAAGGTTTTTTTTCCCCTTTAAATATTTATTTATTATGTATACAGTGTGCGCCTGCACGCCAGAAGAGGGCGCCAGATCTCCCTATAGATGGTTGAGAGCCACCGTGTGGGTGCTGGGAATTGAACTGAGGATCTCTGGAAGAGCAGCCAGTGCTCTAACCTCTGAGCTATCTCTCCAGCTCTTGTTTTTTGTCTTTTGAGTCAAAGTTTACTGTGGGGCCCTGGATAATGAAAGTTTTGGTTTCTTTGTATGTTATGTAAATATGCTTTTGTTTTAATCCCAAGTGCGGGATTTTCGTTGGGCTATAGCATGTCCACACCTGTTAATTGTCATGTGCAGAGTGTGGCTTTTGCCAGCTGGTAATGGCCTTTCACAGGCTGCATGGCGAGGGGCGTGGCCTAGGACTCAGTCTAACTATGAGGCAGAGAAAGAGACTGTGAGGTGTTCTGTGTGGCTTTTGGTGTTGGCGTGTGGCGCGGAGCGGTTTGGAGCAGACAGGCAGAGAGAAATGATTCGGGGCGCAGTGGCGTGGAGGAGACTACTGGCTGCATCTGGGGTTGACGGAGAGTGGTGTGCAGCCTTAAAAGAACCCTGTGATCCTAAACAGCCAGGAGAAGAAAAGGGGTCTGGGCCCTCTCTACCCATGAACCTTTTCTCTCTTCTGCTTAAGGTTGTGGGGAGGGTAGGATGGAGATAGAAGCCTAAACACCCCCCAAAAAAGCAGAGTTTTAAACAGGAGCGCCACAGGAGGCTTTCTGCTGCAGCCCTGGCTGGCCTGGAACTCATTACATAGACTGATTGTTTTGGAATTGAAAAGAGGTCTCCTGAGCATTGCAATCAAAGGCATGTTTATTTTTTAATTTAAAAATTACATTGATTCATCTATGCGTGTGTATGTGTGTGCGCTTGGTCTGAAGAACAGATTACATAGGTCCAAAAGGTCCTCACAAATGATAAGTACTTCTGAACTAGAACTCAAAACTCCACGCTATCCCACTCCTGCTCCCAACCTTTCCCTGGCCTCCCACTGCGCTTGGGTACAGAACCTTTCACCATGTCCCGCAGGGTCCCGGCTGGGCCCTGTGGGCCACCAGCCACTGCCATAGCTTCAGTGTCTTTCTCTGAGTCTGAATCCCTGTCCAGCTACCTACGTCCCCTGAACTGCAGCTCTGCAAGTTTCCTGTGGTCCCCATAGACTCCCACCTACTGCGTCTCCGGCTCTCCTTACCACCTCTCCTAAATCTGTTCCTTTTCCAGGAACCTTTCCTTTTCTTTTTAATTTTGGACTGATATTACTATATAACCGAGGCTGGTCGGGAACTCAAGACGTCCCTACCTGGTATGACGGGTGTCCAGGTCCCCTTCAAGGATACTGTTGACTGAGTTGGCATATGTTTGTAATCCCTGAGAGTAGGCTAGCCAGGGCCATTTGAGATCCTGGCTCAAAAACAAACAAACAAACAAAAAAAGAAAATGAGGGAAGACGTATTTTAGGCAGACGTAGTGGCTTATGCCTGTCATCCTAGCACTTGAAAAATGGAAGTATGAGTATCAGAAGTTCAAGGTCTCCAACGCTGCCACCCCCTCCCCCCCAGCCAAAGGGTTTCTGTGTTGCCTTGGCTGTCCTGGACTCGCTCTGTAGACCAGGATGGCCTGAAACTCACAGAGATCAGACTGCCTCTGTCTCACCAAATGCTGGGATCACAGGTGTACGCCACTGTGCCTGTTTGTTTTTGTTTTGGTTTGGTTTTTTTGGCTACATACTGAGTTCAAGGACACCCTATACTATACAAGACCCTGGCTCCATAAAGCTAAACTAAACTAAAAAGTCGGTCTCACCATTCTACCTAGCTGTCGATGTCTTCAATTCTCAGCCTCTTCCCTCGGTCCTAGGACTTGTCCCAGGGCCCCATGAGTATCTACCTGGGCCCCTGAGAATCTAGCCCAGTCCGTCTAACCTTCCAGTCCCCTATCCACCTGAATTAATCTGCTCAAATGCTCTGTGTCTCCCTCTGTCCTCAAAGTCCTAGCAGCTTCCCATAGCCCCAGAGCCTTCACTGATCTTCCACTAGGGAGCAGGGTAGTTTACTTGCTCAGCACCCTTCACACCTCAGCCACAGGCCTCCTGGAGAGGCCCTGCACCTTCAGCTTTTGGGTGCTCGGCCCCATGCTTCCCCATTTTATCCCCACTTCCCTACCTGGACTTCCTGTGTCTCTGCCCCACCCTCTCTGGGCTGTCCCTGCCTGCTGATAGCTGCCTTACTACTTCAGAGCTGTGAGCCCTGTGGGCTAGGCTGATTTAGTCACCCCTGTGCCCCAACACCTGGGCACAGAACCAGCAGCACATGCCAGGTACCCAGTTCATCCATCTGTTCATGCAAACGAACTTATTCATTGACTACCCATTGCTAAGCTTTATTCTAGAAACCGTACAGAATGCTGTAATCTCAGCAGCCCCTGGGAGGCTGAACTCAAGGTTCCGGGAAAGAGCTCGTCTCTTAAGGATAGTGCAATTTGTGTGTTACGTGAGTGTGTTCATGGATGGGTGAGAACTGTGTGTGCACACGTATGGAACCCAGCGGTCAGCGTCAAGGGCTCTCCTGTCCTTCACCTATGTTTATTATTGTTGTTATTATTTAGAGAGAGGGTCTTACCCAGTGGCTCCGGCTGGCCTGGAACTCACTACAGCTATGCAGACCCAAGGTGGCTTGGAACTCATAAGACGTGTCCCTGCGTCTGCCTATGTGCCACCATGCCTGACCCATGTTTTATTTTTTCGAGATCGTATCTCTCTCACTGACCCGACAAGGCTGGCCGGCTGGTGAGACCGAAGAATCTGGCTCTGGAGAGATGGCTTAGCAACTGAAAGTACTCAATCCCCAGTGCCTACATGGTGGCTCACAACCACCTAGAATTCTAGCTTTGGGGCATCTAATGCCCTCTTCTGGGCTCTGTAGTCACGAAGCACAAAGGTGGTTTGCACACAAGTATGCAAAACACTCGTATATGTTAAAAAAATATAAACTCCACCCAAACATTTTTAAAAAAGTGTTTTGTTTTGTTTTGTTTTGTTTTGTTGTTTTGCACAACGATCTGCCTGTCTCTGCTTCCCCAGCACAGGGCTGCAGGCATGCACCCCCCATCTGGCTTTGCACCTGAGTGCAGGGGGTCCGGGCTCAGGCCCTCATGCTTGCACAAGGGCTACTCAAAAAAGCTCCACCTACCCAGGCCCACAACGTGCAACACAGTGATGCCAGGCACAGGTGAGAGGCATGGTCGGTAACAAAGTGGCAGAATCAGCCCAAATGCCACAGTAAAGTAACTGTGTTCCAAGAAGTTATCAGAGCTGGGCAGGGCAAAAGGCTGAGGCCAGAGGACCAGGTGTTCAAGGGCACCTTGGGCTGCATACCGGATGCTCTTGTTTGACATTGTTTCACGGATGCTCTTGTTTGACATTGTTTCACGTATCTCAGAGTGGCCTCAAACTTGTTCATACCGGAGGGTGACTTGAAATCCTGATCCTCTTGCTTCAGCTCCTAAACACTGGGTTTACAAACACACACAGACTCACTGGCTACTCTGTGCACTTTAAAGATGGGAAATTGGGGATTGGAGAGGCATGATTTGGTGGCCAGGGCTACCCACAGGTTTAGGGGGGGATACCCTAGGCTATAACACCCCACACCTTGGAAATATGTGAAACATGTACCCGTGGAGGGGGAAAGGCTCAAAGGCTGGGTGGCTCCTTCTGGGGAAAGCTGGAGCCATGAGATACAGAGGGAAGCTGTCAGGACCACTGGTGGCAGGGGAGAGATGGAGACATAGGGCAACGTGAGCGTAATCTACGGAGAGGTGAAGATGGGAAATATGGGGACGGCTGGTATGAAGAGATTTAGGGAGAAATGAGAACAGAAGAGATGGTGGGTGATTTCAACAACGACAAAGTTGGCTCAGCATGCGTGTAATCCCTAGAACTCAGGGGAACGGGCAAATGGATCAAATATTCGAGGTCTGGGTTACCCTGTCACACAGAGAAAATTGTACATACACGGTCAATAAGGACTGAAGGGGGATGAAATTGAACATGGAAAGATGCTGTGCTGAGATGCCTCAGCAGTTAGAAGCACTTGTTGCTCTTCTAGAGGACCTGAGTTGGAAACCGAGCGTCCACGTTTGTGTGTTGGGGGGTGCGGGGGGCTCTCAACCATTTGTAACTACAAACCCAGGGAATCTGACGTCTTCTGATCTCCTTGGGCAACTTTAGTCACAGGTAAGTAATTAAAGACAAAAATAAAATGCTTTTTAAATGAGGGGAGGCAGAAGGGTGGTGGTGACGATTCAAGTGGGTTATGAGTTACGAGAAGGAATGGGGGGGAAAAAAAAATAAAAGTACCTGCGCTCCAAGTCGTCTACTCCAGAACCAAGCCCCGCCTTCCTGCCCCCTCCGCGCAGGCGCACTCGGGCCAGACTGCGGGCCGGGCGGGGCTTGGGAGGGTGCGTGCCGTCACGTGACGGCGATCGCCGCACTCTCGCTGTTCGGCGGCCGGGACGGCTAGAGCGGCGTGTGGGTGGTTGAGCACGGCTTCCGGTATCAAGGGCAGGACTTCCGGGGCGGGCGGCCCAGGCTGAAGGAGGAGTGTCCGACAGTTGGCGCGACCCGGAGGGCGGGCAGGCGGCTCCTGGGGGTGCGGGCCGGCAGGGCCAGGTGAGGTGGGGTCCCGGGCGGCGGGACGGAGTTGGAGGAGGTTAGGGAGGGCGGGACGGGGTGGCTGGGCCTCTGGAGTCCCGGTGCAGACCGTGCTGTGCGGCCGCGTGAGTGGTAGCTTTCTCTGAGCCTCAGTTTCCTCCTCTGTACGGTGGGGGCTCGAAGCCGACCGTAGTACCCGCGTCATGGGAAGTCCGCTGGTGCACTACGCGTCAGCTCTCCGCGCTCCGCTCGTTACTCTTTCATCCTTGTTAGCGCTGATTTGGGGCTCCTGCGCGGGAGGTGGCCCGCCTAGCAGGCCAGCGGGTTTGGGTTCTAATCCCAGCTCGCCTGTGCAGCCCTGGGCTTGTGTCTTTACCTCTCCCAACCCCAGTTTCCTCTGCTTAATGAAAAGTAGGCTCAGGCGTAGAGGTTCCGTCTTGCGGATTCTCAGGGGATGATTAGGAGTTCCAACAAAGTAGAGGAGGGAAAGCCGAGAGAAAGTAAGAAGACAAACAGTCGGGGAGATCAGCACCCATCTGTTCGCTGCGTAGAGATTTAAAGTACTGATTGATGCGTGTTCCCCAGTTTGAAAGGCGAAAGTTACATTTTGTTGTCCTGTTGGGGAACTACAGTTGCTTGCCAGGAGAGGGAAAACTTAATTTGAAATACAGTAGAAGTAGAACAGCCTCAGTCTCTCTCTCTTTCTCTTTCTCTCTGGTTTTGTGTAGCCTTGGCTTTCCTGGACTGGATTTGTAGACTAGGCTATCCTCGAACTCACAGAGACCCACCTGCCTCTGCCACCCGGAGTGCTGGGATGATAGGCATGTGCCCCTACGCCCGGTTTAGAGTAGTCTTTATTTGTGGGCAGTAAATGAAAGATACTTGAGAATTGGATAATCTGTCTGCCCATCTATCTATCTTCCTTCCTTCCTTCCTTCCTTCCTTCCTTCCTTCCTTCCTTCCTTCCTTCCTTCCTTCCTTTCTTCCTTTCTTTCTGTTAGGGTCTTCCTATGTAGCTCTGCTGCCTTGGAACTCACTCTATAGACCAGGTTAGCATTGAACTTACAGAGATCTGCCTGCCTCCCCCGCTCCTCCCCAGTGCTGGGATTAAAGGCGTGTGCCGTCATGACAGACTGGCTAAATGATCTTATACGTGGTTCCCAACTCTCATCTACGTGAAGCTGACAGGAGGTCCATAACCATCCCACCCTTCACCGGTCAAGGTTTAACTTCACGCATACTTACTGCCAAATACAGTTGTAGGAACTTTGAGTTTGCTCTTTCAATCCCTTTAACAGCTGTTACAATTTTTTTGAGTGATGTTTTTTACACTGTGTTTAAGATCAGAGGACAGCTTGGTCTGATGGCCTGTATCTACTTAGCCCCTCACTGGTGCCCCCTCATCTCCCAACACCTTTAAAACTTTTCCCCATTGATGGATAGTAGACCTGTGCATGCCTTTTTGTGGCGATTAGGAAACTTGTGGGAGTCAGTTCTCTTTTTCTGCCGTGTGGGATGCAGGTTCAGGCGGTGGAACTCATGTTGTCTGAGCTGGAGGCAGGCTCCTTTGAGAAGGCTATCTTACCATTTTCTTTAAAGTCCCAGCAACGGAACCCAGGCCAGGCCATGCTGGGCCGGCGTTCTGCCACTGAGCTGCTTCCCAGCCCTGACCTTCTTGGTGTAGGCTCTCTCCAGGGAACACAGCTGACCTGGAACTCAGAATTCCTGCCCCAGCTTCCCAAGTGCTGAGATGGCAGTTCCCTGCTGCGGGGAAGGGTAGCAATAAGATCCTTCTTAAGTGGCTCCAAGAGGTGAGTCCCAGAAAAGTAAGACAAGGCCAGGGTATTTAGCCTTGGCTCTCCTCAAACTCATGGTGCTTCTACCTCAGCCTCCTAAATGCTGGAACACCATGCTTTTGGATTTAAGTCTCCTAAGGGCTTAGCATGTAGTAGCATCTAGTAAATGGTAATTCCTTGAGTTTTGGGAGCTGTTATTTCTAAAATGTTAATTCTGTCCGTCACTATTTAGAAAGTCAGTTCAGTAGATGGACTTCTAAAAGTATTGATTTGTGTGTGTGTGTGTGCGTGTGCTTGTGCTGGTGTGCATGCGGTACATGCCTTTGGATGGCAAAGTTGGGTTTTCACTCAGTCCTTGCTTCCCTCATGTTTTGACTCAGGGCCTCTCCCAGAACCTCCAGGTCACCCATTTGGGCAGACAGGCTGGCCACTGAGCTCCAGGGATCCTTCTGTGCCTAGTGCTTGGCTTTATAAAAAGTGGTGGCAGGGATTTGAATTCAGTACTGATGCGTGTACTCCCCAGCTGGGGAGATGAGCTTTAAAAAAAAAAAAGGCCTTTTATGTGTACGTGTATTCACCTGCCTGTGCATAGTTTACCATATGCATGCCTGAGGCACTTGGAGCCCAGGCTGTTGGGTCCTGGGGACTGGAGTTACAGGTGGTTTTGACCTGCTGTTGAGGGCTGCGAACTCAGCTGAGCCCTGCACAGAAGCAATGTCTCAACCACAGAGCCATGTCTCCAGGCCCTGGGAACTGAATTTCTAAAGCAGTAGAGTGAATAAGCTGAGCACCTGGGGGTGCAGCCAGGAAGACTGTGAGACGGCCAGCGTGACTGATTCGGGAGACCTGTGTCAACAGTGGGACCACACCAGCCAACAACCAAAATGGTGTTAGGGACCTGAAGTTGAGTTTAGCGGTGACTTCGCTGCTCTAGGGAATTCACTTAGCATTAACTGAGGCCTCCAAGGATAGGCTGGTTGTGCCTGTTTCAGCAGCCCCTCAGTCCCCGCTAACTACGCATTGGACTAACCTGTTCGAGCCCTGGCCAGCCGCTACTTGCTGGGTGTTCTTGGGCTCGCCGTTCTTTGTTGTTGAGTTTGTTTGCTCTTTCACTCCTCTTTCTTCCTCCCAGGCCCGTCATGCAAAGCCACTGAGATGTGCGTATTCTCAGTTCCTGGCACAGAGTGAGCACTCCTGAGGACCTGCTCCATGGGCTTCAGAATCAGAGAGAACTTGCTTTTCAGTCTCAGAAAGGTCAGTTGCCACATGTGACACTTGGCAAGTGACTGCCCTGCCTAATCGGGTGTCCTTTGAACTGATGAGAGGGGGTCTTAGGGGTGAGGCTGCTCTGAGGTGTCTTGGTGATGCCCTGACCTGGTAGCTGCTTGGCGCTTGCTCAGTGGCGTGTCCTCACTTTCTCAGAGCTCTCTGTTGTACTGTCAGTGTCAGATCTGGAGCTTTCTGTGGAGCTAAGGACAGATAGGCTGGACTTCTTTCTGATCGTTCTGCCTCGCTCCCTGGTGCCTGGCCTGTGGGCTGTGGACTGGTGTATATGGTGCTAGGGGTTGAATGCAGAGCCTCCAGCATGCTGGGCGAGCACTCCCAACCGAATTACACCTTTAGCCCCACCCACCTGCTTGAGAGTGGGTCTTGCTATACAGCCCAGGCTAGCCTTGAATGTGATGTGTAGCTCAGGCTGGCCTCCACAGTTCTTCAACCCCTTTTAAGCACTTGCTCATGGAAGTGAGAATTGGTTTTTCATTTCTTTGGAACCTGTTGGGTCTGGTACCCCGCCTGTCTCATCCGTCTCCTCCTGGTCGGTTTCTTAGACACACTAGAGGAGCTGCTGTCTCAGGGCACTATTGTCAGTGTCCTCTTTCTTGGAATGATCTTCCTCTAAAGAACCGTACACTCACTCTCCCTCCCGAGGTCTCTGCATAGCGCTTCAGTCTTTGCAGATCGGCCCTTGCAAAGGGCTCCCACCCTTCCCAGGTTGTCCTTGTTTTTCCCCGGGACACTGACTGCATGGCTGTCCTGTCTGTCTGCGGTCTGTCACCTGCTTCTCTGGCCCCAACTGGGCTCAATGGCTTTGGCCCCCTGGGTACTCTTAAGTATCTTCTGCTACTTTGAAGGTTTTCAGGGAATCTGTTTTTTATTTGTTTGTTTGTTTGGCAAGGACCAGACCCAACCTTGCATGTGCTGGGCAAAAATTCTGTCAGTGAGCTACATCCAATTAATCTTTTGTGATTATGCAGAGCCTTATATAGCCCAGGCTGGCCTTGAACTCCTTGAAAACGTGCTGTGTCAGTCTTCTGAATGGTGGGATTTCAGGCACTTCCATGTCTGCTTTCTGTCTTAATGTTTGGGAGGCAGAGACACGGGGATCTCTGTTAGTTCAAGTCCAGCCTGGTCTGTGCAGCAAGTTCCAGGACAGTGAGGACTAGAAGCACCCAAAGAAACATGAATAAAGAGAAAGGGCCTCACTTTGTGGCCTGGACTGTTTTGCCTCAGCTTCCTGAGAGGTAGGTTAGCATGTGCTACTGGGCCTGACTCTGTCAGGAAGTTTCCTTTGAGCAGTGAGTGGGTCCCTGTGCTGAGATTTTGGGGGCCACTATTGCAGCTAAACCTGTCTTAGTGTGAGTAATGGGAGCTTGGACTTTAGCCATCTGTGCTGGGTGCTTTTATGTCAGCCTGCTGTAGTGACATTTTTGAGAATTCTGGAGTTTTGGTTTCTTAAAAAAAAAAACAAAAAAACCCCCACAGAAATATTATAAGAATGTGCTTTTGTTTCAGTCCCTGGTGTAGGGACGTGGGGCTGCTTTGGACTGTCCACAGTGGCTGACTATGATTTGCCTTGTGCTCTGGCAGAACCGTGGTTGTTTTGCCAGCTGCAGATGGATTCTGTGATTGTGTGATATTTGGGTTTCTGGGATCTTTTCAGAGGGTACAAGGGTACATAAATTTAAGGGCCCTGAGAGATGGGAGTCAGCGGTTGCTCGTTGGTCATTTAGGGAGGTTGGTTGCCATTTGTGGTCAAAGAAGAAACAAAAGGAAAGAAATTAGATTGAGGGATCTCCTTCTCTTCTATGTTGGGGGAGGGATAAAGGGTGGTCGGAGAAAGAGAACCCATAACGGCGTACAGAACAGCTGCAGCTTGCCACAAGCCAGAGTCATCTGAGAGTTGGGATTCTCAATTGAGAAAATGCTTCCTTCCATAAAATTAGCTTGTAGGCAAGTCTGTGGGCCATTTTCTCGTTGATGGTTGATGTGGGAGAGTCCAGCCCACTGTGGGTTGTGCCACGCCGGGGCATGTGGCCATGCTGTTCTAAGAAAGCAAACAGAGCGAGCCATGGGGAGCAAGCCAGTAAGCAGCACCCCTCGTAACCTCTGTGTCAGCTCTTGCCTCCAGGTTCCCGCCTCGAGTCCCTGCCCTGACTTCCAGGATGGACAGCTTCCCTTGTAAGCTGTAAGATGAAATGGGCCCTTTCCTCTCCCGGTGGCTTCTGGTCATGATGTTAATTGCAACAATGGAAACCCTAACTAGGACACCATCTCTAGCACCTTCCCAGGCAGAGGTGATGGCTGTGATGGCAGCCCTGTCCCAGGCTGACGTTCTACCAGCTGCTTCAGGCTATTCTTGGGTCCTGAGCCCCTAGTCCAGGAATGCTCCTCTGGCAGGCAGGCAGGCAGGCAGGCAGGCAGGCAGGCCGGCCGGCAGCACTGGGAGCCTGAGGCTCTCCGGCGGCTGATGGGCCCTCTCCCTTCTCTCTTCCAGGCTCCAAGAAGCAGGGTCAAGGCCAGGGAGACGATGGTCTCAGTGACTATGGGTGAGTCTGCTTTCCCTCAGGGTCCCTTCTGCCTGCTGCCCTTTTGGGGGCTATGATCTGGGTTAGAGAGGTTGAGGGGGGAGGGTTGCTAACAGGCAGGAACAGCTGGATTCCGCTGAGGTGGGGGCAGGGAGGTGGGGGCAGGGCTGGAGCCCTGGGCAAGGCCCTCTATTCTCTTCCTGAGTTGGGCCTCCTGAGTTAAACGGGCCTGGAGAACTTGGTAAGGCCTTTGACTGCACGCCCTGCGTGGCCTGCTGGAACCTCAGCTTTTCACTTTTTAAAATTTATTTATTTTTATGTTCATTGGTGTTTGCCTGCATGCATGTCTGTGTGAGGGTGCCAGATCCCCTAGAACTGGAGTTAAAGAACTGCCATATGAATGCTGGGAATTGAACCCGGGTCCTCTGGAAGAGCAGCCAGCGCTCTTAACCACTGAGCCATCTCTCCAGCCCTGGTTGTGAGGTGGAGATGATAACCCTGCAGTCTGGACTGAAGAGATTACCACACTTAGGATCCTGGGCACAGTCCTTAGCAGATGTTACGTGTTGTGCTTGTTCTGAGGCAGCTTTGTTCCTCTTTCCTGAGATACTGCCACATACTAGCCCAGGTTAACCTGAAGCTTCCTAGAGCCAAGAATGACCTTGAACTCTTTACCTCTTGTCTCTGCCTCCAAGTGCTGGGATCTAGGTGCTGCCATCACCCTGGCTGGCTGGCTGGCTCTTTGTCTTGCTCTTGGTTTTGGAGCCCGTGTGGCCCAGGCTGCTTTCTTCCTGCCTTAAACCCCTGGCTGCCGGGCTGTACGTCTATGCCGCCACACCCCGTCCCCAGTTCCTGTTAAACTGTCCTGTGGGATTGTCAAGACAGAGATCACATGGTGCCTTAGCTAAGAAAACGTTGAGATCGATTGCACATGTGGGAAAATCCATAAAACATATTTGCATGGATTCAAGAGCAACTAAAAGAAACGACTAGCGGGGCCCCAGCTTTGAGTCTACGTAAACAAACCCCTGTAATGTTCATCATGTTGTGTGGCTGCCTTTATGTGGCATTATATCTGAGAGTCTCCTGGGGACCAAGCTTAGCTATTGTTTTTCCTTTTCAGTGCTGTGTGGTATTTCACGTTTGTTTATGGATGCCACTGCTAAGCAGTATTGCTTAGGGTTTGAGATGTATGTTAAGTGGGCAAGCACTTGCCCAGGACTCACCTGTGAGGGACGTGGGGTGTGGTTCAGTCACTGAACCACAGTACTGTCCACTGAGAGCCTGAGGTGGCTCAGAGCTAGAGCAGAGACCTTAGCTGACATTCGTAAGGCGGACTCCATCCTCAGCACTGCAAACAAACAAAAGGGGATGTTGCTTTGTTTGGGATAGACGTGATGGCAGTGTATGTGAGGGTTTCTCCTGCTCGCCCGTACAGTAGCCTCATCCCCTGACTCCAGCATACACTGTTACACAATGGGACATTTCTGAGCAGGGGCTACATCTTTTTGTTTGTTTTTGGAGACAATGTCTCATGGTGTAGTTCTCCCGATCACTGATTGTGTATCCTAAACTGGCCTCAACCCCACGGCTGCCTCAGCCTCCTGAATGCTGGATTAAAGGCTTCAAGGAAGCCACTGCCTGTGCCCCGGTATTTCTTAATAACCACTGGTTTGTGACAACTTAACTGGTCACAGATTTGCCTTTTCTCAGTAATCCATGACATGATAGTGTGCATCGAGGAAGAGACTCTGCAGCTCCTTGGACACCAGGCCCTCTTCTGTAGGGCCTTTGAGGTGGTACCCGCTGTGGTGGTCCAGCACAGCAAGGCAGGAGGATCCGGAGTGTGTGGATAGTCTTAGCTCTCTGGTGAATTCAAACCCAACCTGGGATCCATGAGACCTTGTCTCTTTTTGAGACAGCCTTTCCCTGGGTAGCCCTGGCTATCTTGGAACTGGATATGTAGACCAGGCTGGCCTCAAGCTCACAGAGTTGTACCTGCCTCTGCCTCCCACGGTATGTGCCACCATGCCCACTGAGACCCATCTAAAAAAGAGTCAGGGAGGCGGCTGGAATTTAGCTTGTGGAGCAGAGTGCTTGCCTAGCATGCACACCCTCCATCCCCAGTACCACAGGAACTGAGCATGTGGCAGCGCGCACCTAATTCCAGCTTCTGGGTGCGGAGGCAGGAGAATCGGGAGTTCAGCGTCATCCTCAGATACACAGTGAGTTTAAAGCCAGGCCTGGCTCTACTGGACCTTGTCTTAAAAACAAAACAGAATAAAACAAAAACCCAAAAACCATGTCAAGCTGTCCACACTCAGCTCATGCAGTGACCCAGTGGCATGGTGCTGGTAGAAGTGAAATACCGGCCCAGCCTAAGGCGTCTCAGGTGCCAGGGACAGGACTGGACCTGTGCCCAGAAGTACTTGTAGATGCACAGATAAGGGAACTGAGGCTCTGAGCGTTGACTGAGCCCGAAGTGTTGTATGGAGGAAATGGCAGTCAGGGTCAAACCCAGTCAAGCTGCCTGATAACAAATGAGTGTGTGCCTCTCCCTGAGCTTGGCTGCTCCCTGCTAAGGCCCATGGGCTGGCTCCTGGACCTGGGCTCCCCACTGGGCCAGGTGCTGAGAGCTCTCAGGCCAAGTACTGGGGCATCAGGAAAGGGAAGTCTTAAGAGAACAACGTCACAGCACTGGGAACTTGGGAGCATCGTGCCTGGCGTGTTACCAACCTCTTGGGTCCCGAGCAGGGACTCCGTGCCTGCCGGCCCCCAGGTGGTCGGGATCTCATTCCCTGAGAGCTGAGAGCTCACAGTGCGGGGCAGGAGTGCACTGGCTTTTCCTTTGTGGAAGCCACTACTGCTGCGGTTTGCTGTGAATGACTGTCTGTCTAACCCCCAGCCACTTCCGAGTGGATCCAGTTCTTCAAGGAAGCCGGCATTCCCCCAGGACCTGCTGTTAATTATGCTGTGATGTTTGTGGATAATCGGTGAGAAGGCTGGTGGGACAGGGTAAGCAGGGCAGGGGGAGGTGGGGGCTTGCCGGATGGACCTCACCGCCCTGCTCCCCTGCAGGATCCAGAAGAGCATGCTGCTAGATCTCAATAAGGAAATCATGAACGAGCTGGGCGTGACCGTAGTGGGTGACATCATTGCCATCCTCAAGCATGCCAAGGTGGTACACCGCCAGGTGGGTACTCTTCTGAGCCTCTGACTTCCTGGGAAGTGTGGGGCGGGAGGGCATTGTGAGGCAGTCCGCCTGGCGGCAGAAGATTTGGCTCTTTGCTCTGTGACATCGGGTGTGTGCCTGACTTCTCTGAGCCTTCTTTTCTTTGTGTTCCCTATGCAGTGAAGCAAACGAATTTTGTGTTTCTTTTCCCATTTTTACACGTGTGTGGTATACATGCATGGGCACATGTGGGTGTCACATGCTCATATGTGTATGTGTGTGTGGAGGCCCATGGTTGATGTTGGAATTCTCTTCAGTCGCTCTTCCACCTATGCAGTGAGGCAAGACCTCTCAGTCAAACGCAGAGCTTTCTGATATGGCTGCCAGGTGCTTGAGCTCATGGAAACATCTAGAGAAGGTCTTGAACTCTTCCTCATTCAGGACCTTGCAAAAGCACTTTCTCAAGTAAGAGGCGTCAGTCAGCTGGAGACAATGAGCAAAACATTGTTTTTTCTTCTTTGTTTTTTCCTTTAAAGTTTTAGATTGAGAATGAAAATATGCATTGGCTAGATGCCTGGGCATATATGTGTGGCGGTCAGAAGACAACTTCCTGAGTCGGTTCTCCCCACCCCACCCCCCCGGTCTGCGTCCCACCGTTCAGCTCAGGTGTCCGGGGCATCGTGTGTCTTTACCTGCTGAGCTATCTGGCCAGCCCAGGGGGCTTTCTTTAGCCCAGGGCAGAACAGTACAGAGTTGGAGAGATGGCACAGAGGTTAAGAGTGCTTGCTGCTCTTCCAGAGGACCCACGTTCAGTCCCCAGCAGTGTTGGGAAGCTCACAGCTGCGTGTGGGTGCACACAGACACACACACTTAAAAAGGAGTTAAAAAACGAAATAACAAAGGAAACAAAAGTCTGGAGCAGAACACCTCCATGTGTCCTGCAGTCCCGTTCTGACCCTCTTGGCTGCTGCTCACCTCTTTAGGTCTCCTGTTCTGTGCTAACCCTGCTACCTCTTTTCCAGGACATGTGCAAAGCCGCCACGGAGTCGGTGCCCTGCGGCCCCAGCCCCCTCCAGGGTGAGCTTCGCCGGGGCGCCTCTAGTGGTGAGTTGGGTCATTGTATCCTGTTGTTGCAAGCACATTTAGCCATCCATCTACCTAGTAGTTTGCAGAGGGGGAAGCAGCCATTGAGGGACCGTTTAAGCTAGACAGGGAGTGACTGTCTCGCTGTTTCTCATTCACAGTAGTAATGCTTTTTATAATTTGTGTGTGTGTGTGTGTGTGTGTGTGTTTGTGTGTGTGTGCGCGCGCTAGCAACGAGTGTGTGGTCTCATTAGACAAAGTGTCTGAGGAAGACTACCCTGTGGGACTTGGTTTTCTCCTTCCATCATGTGCCATGTAGATCTGGGGGAATCAAACTCTGGTCATCAGGCTTGGCTGGAAGCACCTTTATCTGCTAAGTCATCTTGCTGGCACCTCTGTCTGTCTGTCTGTCTATCTGTCTATCTAGATAAAGGTTTGCATAGCTCAGGTCAGCCTTGAAGTCACTATGCTCCTGCCTTAGCATCTTGCTGCTGGGATCACCACACCTGGTTTCTTTCTTTCTTGGTGGTGCTGGGGATGGAGTCCAGAGCCTGCGCAGGCTGGTGCAGGCTGGTGTGCGCTCAACCCTTCCACCAGCCACCTTTGCCCGGATACCTTAGCTCTGTCACACTTCACTTTCTTCCTTTTTGGTTTTTCAAGACAGGGTTTCTCTGTAGTCCTGTCTCTGTAGATTAGCTGGTCTCAAACTCGTGATGACCCACCTGCCTCTGCCTTCTGAGTGCTGGGATTGGTGGGCATTGTACCATCACAGTTATCCAGCATCTTTCTGACACGGCCAGGACCCACCCCCGCTGGCAGTGGGGTTTCCACAGTGGGATGGGCCCACTCACATCAGTACCAGTCAAGAACTATTCCCTGGGTCTGCAGGCCAGTCCACTGGGGGCATTCCTCAACCTCCCCGATGCCTCCAGCTCTTGTAAGAAGCCAAAACCGTAACCATCCGTTTACGTGTATTTGTTCTGTGTGCTTTTCTCTGGGGAGTACTTGTGTGTCACAGTACAATGGTGCTTAAATGACAACATCTGGAAGTCAGTTCTCTTCTACCACGTGGGGCCTGGGGACCAGGACCTGTACCCACTCTGCTGTTTTCCTCACTGCATTCCTTGTTTACTCCTTGTTTACTCCATGCTGTTGTGTCATTTGCTGAGCTCCCAGCCGGCCACACCGTGACTCACTCCAGACAAAGCTTGTAAGCCACACACGGTCTCCAGGAAGCCTGTCCATGCAGTGCGGCGTGACACACACCTCAGCCTCAGGCGGGCGGCATTTAAGGCTGTACAGTTAGCAAGAAAAGCAAAAAAGAGGCCAGATTTTACTTTCCTAGTGCTAAGTAGACCGTGGAAGGACGCTTAAGGGGCTGACACCGGAAGGCCGCAGGGTCTGTTGGACATCGGTTGGGAGCATCTGCTGCGTGGCGGGTGCAGATGTGAACAGCTGTGGAAGCACCACACGGACTGGTGTCCGTGCAATGGATTGTAGTGGCCAGACGGTTTGTGCACACAGACTCTGAAAGCCTGGGCCACAGGAGGAGGCCCAGTGTAGAAACAGGCTGGGGTGGGCCTCCGCTGGCAGTGTGCTGGCCTGGCTTCCATGAGGCCTCGGACTCCAGGCCCCGTTCCAAACAAACAAAACACCTCTAATATCTCAGCACCCAGGAAGCCGTAGCAGGAAGATTGAGTTCAAAATAGGGGCTAGAGTGATGGCTCAGTGGTTAAGAGCACTTTTGCTATTCCAAAGAAGCTGAGTTCAAGTCCTAGCACCCGTATCAAGTAGTTCACAAACCCCTGTAACCAGCTCCAGGGGATCTGATGCCCTCAGGCCTCTAGAGGCACGGATATACACGTGGCATACACACATGAATACACACACACACAAATAAAAATAAATAAATTTATTTTAAAAAATGTTCAAAGTAATAAGTTTGAAGTCAACCAGGGATACATGAGATCCTATTTCAAAAAGAAAAAAAAAAAAGAGGGCTGATGAGTTGACTCAGTGGGCAAAGCTGTTGATAGGCAGACATGCAACCTGAGTTGTCTAGAACCCACCAAGTAAAAAGGAAAGAACTGACATCGACAATCTGTCCTCTGATCTCCACATATGCACTGTGGTACATGAGCCCCTCCCACATAATAAAAATTAATCAAGAAGTGTACACCTGTGATCCCAGCACTCACGGGGCAGAGGCAGGCGGAGCTCTGTGAGTTCTAGGCCAGCCTGGTCTGCAGAGTGAATTCCAGGACAGCCAGGGCTGCACAATGAGATCCTGTTCAAAAAAAAGAAATTATACATATGTATGTATGTATACATACACATACATGTAATATATAGTATAACGTGGCATTATATATGTTTAAAAATCTATATATCACAAAAACAAGCAATTAGGGAGCTGGCTCGGTGGGTGAAGTGTTTTCCAAGTAAGCTTGAGGACTTGGATCCTCCACACTGAAACACTCAAAGAGCAGTGCTGTAGCACAGCTGTGACGCCAGGTAAGGTGGGAGATAGGAGAGCCTGGATGCTCACAGGCCAGCTGCTGGGTGTATGTAGTTGCAAATGGAAGGACCCTATCTCAGACCAGGTAGTAGGCAAGGACACACATCTGAGGTCATCCTCTGACCTCTACACATTTGTGAGCAGGGATGGGACTTGTCTGTAATCACACGTGAATGGACACACACAGATGAACTTTTGACCACGGATCGACTGGTCATTGTGCTCTAAGCCAGCTCAGCAGCTCTCTGTGGTTCCTGGCATCTAGGTTGAAGGAAGGCTTCATTTACATATCTGATTACTGGCTGGATGCCAGCTGGGATAATAGAGGTGACTAGGTACCTTTCATTGTGCAGCGGGCTAGCTTAGGTATGTTCCGACAGTGGGAGCTACAGGGTTCCTAAAAACAGGAGGAGAGGGCAGGCCCCCGCACCAGGGCCTCTGGAGTCTGCTTTTGTAAGATCTGCTCTTGTGCCGCCGGACAAAGCAAAGTCGAAAGGCTGAGCTTAACTGTCAGTGCTGGCAGGACACGCCCAAAGGTGTTGATTCACAGGAGGTTGTAGAAATCAGGCTTCGATTCTCTAATCAGCACACAACATGGAGAGAGAAGGGTTTGAGCATAGTGGCTTTGCTGGCTGGGGTGTCCTCAGCTCTAGAGTGTGTGTTCGGCCTGTGAGGCCCCGAGTCTTGGCACTAAACCATTACAGGCTCTGCTGAACAGTATTCAGTGTAGGACAGCTGAGAGACAAGCATGGTTGTTCTCCCAGAGGCTCCTCTTCTCCTTTCCCACTCACTTGTCTCCTTTCAGGGCATCCACAGCCCTGGCTTCCAACAGCAGACATGAGTTTTGCCAGTTTTTCAAGTGCCTGTCGATAACACTTTCAGGCTTTTATGGATGCCTTTTTCTTTCCTTCCTTCCTTCCTTCCTTCCTTCCTTCCTTCCTTCCTTCCTTC